TGGGTCCCCCCCCCCCCCCAACCCCCAAATTCATATACAGGTTCCAGCCAAGAATAGACAACAGACTGCTTTGATAAGAGGAGAAGCAACATACCACAGCAGGAATATCCAAACCACGTGCGGCGACATCTGTGCATAACAGAATGCCCTTCTTTGCATCGCAGAAATCAAAAAAGGTAGATGTTCGTTTTTGCTGCTTTTGCTTCCCATGAATATCATGGCATTCAATCTTGATATAGCGAAGAAGTTCAGAATGGAACTTGACAGAGTTGCAAGATGAGAAGAAAACCATTATTTTCTTTGACAGGTTCCTCTTCAAGAATGAATAAAGGAGAATAAATCTCCTGGCACTAGGGACAACACAGTATCCTTGTTGTAGCCCTTCGTTCGTGACCTGAATTAACCATATACTCAAACAGGCTTACAACATGATCTTGAATTAAACATATGCTAGGAGGAAACAAATTAGTTTGTACATACCCTCCTCCTCCCATCGTCCACATCAATATAGATAGGAGCTGTCAAAGATAAGCGTGCAAGGTCCTCAACCTAAAAACATGAACAAATCTCAGCGAACCTCATTTAATGCGTCGATGTTTTTCACTTTATCAAATTACCATAAATTTATATTTAGCCACCAAAATCACTAGCACAAATACTCACAAGATAATGTAGCTTCATTCAGGAAGAAATTTTTTAACATATATGACATGACATGAATTACTTCCAGCAGTCTCTTAATGGAGATCCCTATCTCTTTTCTATTTAAAAATTATGTTTAATGTTCAAGACAAATGCACTTGAAAGCAGGAATTTACTACTTGCTTTTCAGCTAGGATGAACTTGAAAAACTAGAGGCTTTAAAATACCTTTTTCGTCTGTGTGGCCGAAAAGAGAGCAGTCTGCCTCCCCTGTAGAGCAGCAACTAGCATATTAGTTTTAACTCAAAATAGCAAATACACCAATAGTTGAACATACAAAGAATAACTGAGAAACAAGACATGCAATGACCTACAAGACATAGTGACTGTATACACAAGTTTCAGAGTAACAACATCTAGAAATTACATTACCGAACAAATGATACTGAGAACCTGCAAGGGCAAGCAAAATGCATATTTGTACTCTACTTAGTTTTAACTAAAATCACTAAGAAATCCTTATGCAGGAAATCGTACTTATTTTAATCTTAAAATTGACTATCACCGTGGATAACAATTTCACAAAGCTATATAGTTTTCACAAGACTAATAGCTAGTGCTTAGTTTTAAGAAGTGAGGTGTTTGACCAAGTTTTTGGGAGAAAACAAAATGTTCTTGGGAGTAGCAGAAATTAGTTTTTCATAAGCTTAAAAAAAAAAGTCTTTCCCCGAAAGTACTTTTTTGGAAAACACTTCCGATAAAATACACTCACAAGCACTTTTTAAAAAGCTTGGTCAAAGACTAATTGTTGCTCAAAAGAGCTTTTTACATTGATTAGCCAAACACAGATTGCTTCTCACCATAAGTTCTTTTTTTCGAAAAAATTATTTCTCAAAATAAACTAAGCTTGGCCAAACATGCAATAAGTAGGTAACACAACTACTTTGGTGACTACCTCCTTTGGTAGAAGTTTAAGAATTTGTTGCATATCTTCCTCAAAGTTTGCTTCCAAAATCCTATCAGCTTCATCAATCACGAGACACTGCAAGTTTAAGCAATAATTTCAGAAACCACACTGATCCTTGGACACAGGCTCAAGTAAAGCTATGAATAACTTGTAAGGTAAATTCTAATGAAGTCATAGGCGGGATTTGAGGATAATTGATATCAAATATATCATACTAAAAAATGACATCATAAATAGAAATAGCGAGCCACTAGAAAGGCTAAGTACCTTAAGGTTCTTATAAATGAAACCCTTGGTATTACTAAGATGATCAAGTAGTCGACCAGGGGTGCCTACTAAGAGATTAGCCCCTTTAGCAATACGCTCTGCCTCTGCTCTTCTTGCTGAACCACCAATAACCAACCCAAGAGTCTGCGAGTGATACTTGAGAAGGTCCTTTGCCACAGCATGCGTCTGAGTCATTAAACTGTGGGTTAGCTTTGAAACACACACACTAAAATGGGCAACCACTGTCAATCAATGTAGTACTTTCATAGTTTAATTAACAAACTCAATTTAGTTTAACCCACAAAAACTTGTGAGTTGTGATAGTAATATATATGATCTTCAAGAATTGGGACTTTTTTTGTAACGGCTCTGTATGCAGTAATTTTTCTGTGTGTAAGATGCTATCAACAAGCTATTACTGGACAAAAGTGTACTGTGACAAAATGATGTTGATAAAAGTGATTTACTAATCAACACATTTCACACTAATTGTATTAGTCCCACAGGAAGTCAGCAAGAGAGATTTAAAACTGTTATAAGGATCAATAAGGCTCTAAAGAATAACTCATCCATGCTAATGAACTTAAAGCTATCCCAGTTCCTCTATGTATTTAGTTGTAGAAGACTCAAACATGCATCTTTATTCCCAGATTTTCAATGAAAGTAAAAACTAGATACCTTAATTATCTTTAACAGATAAGGATAGAACAAGCTACTCCATTCTTCCCATATCTAGACCTATTTTGACCTCAACAGTATAAAGAGTAAAACGTCTGGATAGATTATTATCTTAGATTTTGATTTTAAAAATGTCTAATTTAACGTTTGCTCCGTGAAAATGTTAATTTCTAGTTATTAAGATGTCAACGTCAAGTTCATAAATTCTAAAGCAGCACCAACTTTATATTAGTCTGTATTCTGGAACTATAATTTACATTTTTGGAACATGTTCCTAGCTATTTATGGTCTCAACTTGTAGATGCCTTTTACTGTCAGAGAAGCTTAGGTCAGTTGAACCTCTAGAAAGTTGAAAATCCCATCAGAAAGATCTGGAACATGGTCTCCACTTGTATTTTTTAGTGTATACGGTGGCAAAAGGGAATATGAGATGTTTTGATGGGGAGTCAACTCAAATATGTTCTCTTAAGGCTAGTTTTTCTATTTAATTGGGCTAACCATTCCCCTGTAAATAACATTGACACCTTCCTGGATTTTCTCACTTCTTTCTATATGGATTTTTGTATTCTGGACTGACAAAATCTTTGTTGTTGTAACCTTATAATGAAATTGAATTGCTTCACAAAAAAATATTTAAGAGAAGTCAAGTTTGTTTGAGGACAGATAAAACATGTGAAGATGGTCAGTTTGATAGGACAGAAGAATTATGCAAACAAGGAGATCAGCCATATAAACTAACCGCATATAGTCGTCCTTCCTGACCCACCCCACCCCGACAAACAAAAAGCAGGAAGACTAAAAAGGAAAACATGCAAAAAGGATGGACCAGGAAGACTAGGTATTTACCTGTATAGCCAGTTCTCTTGTTGGGCAAATAACAACCACCCCAGTTCCATTACGTGGTGTAAAATGGACATGAAATAATAACTCCACAGCTGGAATCAAAAATGCTAGTGTTTTACCAGAACCAGTTCTTGCAGCTCCGAGGACATCCTTACCTTCCAGAAGAGGAGGAATTGCCCTGGCTTGGATCTTCAACACCAAAGATAAACAATTATAGGAAAGTTTATGAGAACAATGAGTGTTAGTGATTCAGTACCCAAAATAGAGACATAAATCAAGTGGCTTATAGGCAAATTACTATCTACTTATCTAGTCAAGTGGCTCATGGGTAAATTACTATCAACTTATCTAATCAAGTTTTGAAACAACGTTCAATTCATTAGTAATTTCTATATTTCACTTCTCTACTATCTGTTTATGAAAAGATACTAGAAAATGCAAATAGAAAATCTAATAAACAACTGGCATCGCCATTAAGGATAAGGATAAGCAATGCAAATTAGAGAAAGAAAAACGTGTAATTTACCTGAGTCATGTACTCAAATCCCATATCCTTAATTGCTTTCATGGTGGGGTCAGAAATTTCAACAGAAGAAAACAACTCTGAACTCATAATACCTGACCCACTCTTCATCTCTTTCTTAATCTCCTCCTTCAGTTCATCATCCAATTCCTGTCTTTCTTCATCATCCTCTTCCCCTTCCTCGTTCTCTTCCTCCTTCTTAGTCTCCTTTTCCGTAACCATTTTGTTCTTCCTGTCTCTCTTTCGCTTTCTCTTCTTCTTAATTGACTCTTCTTCCGCAACAACTATATTAGGGTTTTCTTCAACCTCCGCCATGGTCGAGAATTTATAACTCAACGGCGGGTGAACTGCATAACACAACACATACAGGTTCTTCTAATAAATCAATTTGAATAAAAAGATTCGTACTTTTAAACAAAAAATTAGTATAACACCACAACTTTGAACTCTTTGAGATATTACGAGGTAAGCGAAACTTGTAAAAGCAAAATACTGTATTTTACCACTAGAAAACCATTGCGCAAAGGAAAAAAAGGATTTGGTATATTTATACAGCGTAAGGAATATATACAGTTGAAAATAAAAGAAAAGAGAAAAAGGAACATACAGTTGATATCGTCGGAGAAAGAGAAACCGAGAGTTTGCTGGAGAAAGAGATGCAGAAGAAGAAGAAGATGATTTAGCGGAGGGAGGAGGGTTTTGGCGAGAATTCTAAACATGAAGCTATTATATGGGCCAGATGGGCTAAAACTTATATGGGCTTAAGGTCCTTACTAGACGTAGCTAGACAGTCAGATTAAGGCCTCAGATGGGCCAAAACTCAAGTTCAGTAAACTTATATGGGCCAAAACTCATCCAATTCAATCAACATGGAGAAACCAAAATATTGAGGAAGGTATATGTAGGTGCATGTAATTTTGCTACTAGATACACTAAAATAGGGAGAGAGGCGAGTGAGATTATAATGTATCCTAGATACATGTATGTATCTAGTATGATTCGCTAGTATCTAGAATATTAGATACATATGAGAGTTGCGAGCAAGATGAGAGAGAGGCGAACGAAATTTGTTATGTATTCCAAATATATACAAATCCACTTGGATACAATTTATCTGGAAAAAACTACACTTAATTTTGATCACAGACATGTATCTAGACACACCAAAATCTAGCTAGATACGTCATATTACAAACTAGAATGTATCTAGTAATTAACTCTTAAACTAGTGGGATTTACGTAAGTGGCTCATTCAACATTTGAAATAGTTTTGGGGTTTTGGTACCTAGCTATATACAATCTTTACTATTTTATTTGCATATCGTTAGTCAAGGATTAGTTTTAGCAAAGGGAAGCCCAAAACATGTGGGTATTGTATAGCAAACTCCGGTTGTTATTTTGTATTTACTAGGAAGGTAAAAGCAAATCGTCCTTTATTTCATGCTCCATAGAAATTGACAATAGAATGGTGACACTAAAGCAAATAATTTAATATCAACGGTTAAAAGTTAAGTTGATAAATATATATTGATGACTTATAATTAAAATATAAGTGTGTATATTATAGTTCTACATCTTGTATTTATTAATTTTATATAATTATTGAGGTCGATTTTTTTTTTTGTCTATACATAATCTAGTAATTTTGATTGATTGTGTTGAATGTTGATAATCAATCAAATCCCTGAACTTCAAAATTTATCTCATTATTATCCAAAAATCATGTTCATATATGCTTTTATTATTAATTCTTTATGATTTTGAAACTAATATGATAAATGATAGTTTCACAAAATATGCTACATTCTTGAAAGTTAAAACTTTATCACCTTATTACTATACAAATTTACACCTAATTCTTCCCCTCACCTTTTCAACTTGCTCAATCTTATCTAATAAAGTGCAACATGACATTTTATAATTATAAATTATAATAAGCTAATTTGACGAGGGGTGTTTGGTAGGACCAAGGTCATATTATTGGAAAATATATTTCCCTTTGGACAAAAAATGCTTTGTAGTGTGTGAAAAATATTGTTTTAACAAAATAATATCCTGTCATACATGTCACATGGACTAGATCTATCCCACTTGTAGAAAATACACAGGAAATGCCTTTTGACTTGTGGAGTTCACAGTTACCAGCAAACAAGCACTTTAGTTTAACAAAAAGAATACAAAAGCAAGAAAAAAATATATCATTAGTTTTCCTTTTTAGGTCAAAAGGTAAAAGGTAAAACTAGTTTGTACTTTATGAAATTTAAGAGTTCACTCATATGGGGAGTTTGTGTTAACCAGGAAATTCGAATTACACAAAATCACATCAAGCAAGTCATCAAGCAAGTCTTGTGCATTGAGCTTGATCGAGAAAATATATAAAAAATAATTTTAATCTGAAACTCAATTTCATTTAAAATATCACACGCTCAATTAATTCAACCTGTTTTGATGAACTACGATGTCAAAGATTCTACCCTATAATATAATTATCATCAGTTTTAATATATTAGGTATCTCACAATAAATAAAGGTGAAGATTTACCGTGATGGACCCCAATACTTGTTTATAACGGACCTTTCACAATCTGACACTTAATATGACCGTTACAAATTACTATAATTTCAAAATTGGTTTACTGTCAGCCGTCGATCTCTCTCAAATCAACGGTTCATGTTAATCCCCCAATATACAGGATCTTGTTCTTTCCCTCTTTCCCCAACTTCTCATTTCTTCTGTTTACTCGAGACCCAATTTAGCTAATTAGCTTCGATTCTATCAAGAATCTTTGAATTTTCACTGGAAGTTGTCAACTTTCTTGCAATCTAAACAGTTTTAGCTACTGGGTTACTCGGGAATCAGCAAGGGCATGTTTGGGACTGTGAGATTTTTTTGATAGAATGCCAGTTTTCACAAGATCTCAGATAACTGACTCGCAGCCGCAGAATGATCAAAGAATTAGACCAAGAACAGATCAAGAAGATACCCAAATGGCTCGAAATTTGAGGAATCCACACCATGGTTTGAAAGAGAAGATGAAAGCACTTACCCTTTTGTATGAACAGCAAAAGCAAGGCTCTGCGGCTATCAAGAATCAATCTGTCAAGCCTGAAGATTCAAGATTATCGAGTCACCCTAGTGTAGACCTTGTCAGTTCAGGTAGAAGAGCTGAGAAAGAGCAAAAACAATCAAAGCCAATTAGTCATGTGATGAGGGAGAACACTATGCATAGTTCAACTGTAACAAGAACTTATGTGGCTCCGCCGCCACCTTCAGGGTTGGATGATGGGAAGGAAAATGTCGCGGTGGTGGCAGGTGGTGACAGAATAGTAGGATTTTCATACCCAAAAAGGGTGAATGCGTCGAGTACTGTGGCAAGAAAGCTCTCATTGGGAAGCTCAACAATGCCACATACAGAACCTAGGGCAACTAGAAGGATAGTGAAAGAAAATGTACAAGAGTTAGATACCATTTCGGAGAAAGCAGCTAGCAAGGGTGGGGGCAGTGATGATGGTGGTAGTAGAATTCTTGTTTTTGTAAGGCTAAGGCCAATTTCAAGAAAGGAGAGAGAAGCTGGAGCCAGGTGTTGTGTGAAAATAGTGGATGGAAGAGATGTTTATCTGACTGAATTCGCCACTGAGAATGATTACCTTAGGCTGAAGAGGCTCAGGGGGCGCCATTTTACTTTTGATGCTTCCTTTCCTGATACTGCTACTCAGCATGATGTTTATTCCACAACGTGAGTTGGAACAATTTTAATAACTTTCTGCTGATTTCACCAATTCATCCATGATCGATTAATCAAGAAAACAACAATTGTCAAACTTGTCAATACTATGAGCCATTGATATTGGTGTGTTAGTAACTTAATAATTTGTGGCTGCAGTGTCATTTGTAGAACCTGTTTAAGGTCTAAAAGCCTCTGATGTTAGTGTGGTGGCAACTTGATAGTTTGTGGCTGCAGTGTCATTCGTAATTATCTTTTTGTTTATAAAAGCCTTTGATGCTAATGTGGTAGCAACTTGATAGTTTGTGGCTGCAGTGTCGTGTGTAGTATCTTTTTACTTCTTAAAGGCTTTGATGTTAGTGTGGTACCAACTTGATAGTTTGTGGCTGCAGTGTCATTTGTAGATCTTTTAATGTCAAAAAGCCTTTGATGTTAGCGTGGTAGCAACTTGATAAGTTTGTGCCTGCAGTGTCATTTGTAGGTAGTCCCTTGAGGTCCAAAAGCTTCAAAATTTGCATTTTAGAGGTATGGGTATTTGTTAGTTTAAGGCTTCTGACTGAGGACATTGTCTGTCTAGCAGACCTTACCTAGTTGTTATATTTGGTAGGCTAAGTGTTCTCGTTAAGGCTTTTTTTACACTGAACTATTGGAATAAAATGGACCTAAATAGAGCGGAATGAATATATTCATTTATCAGACCATACATGGTAATGAGTCATAAGGATTGGTTGATTGATTGTCAAAATAGTGAAAGCTTAACAGAATTGTGAGGTTTAATGGATTGTTTGATGAGAGGGGATTTTATTTTATTTTAATTTTCTTGAGGTCAAGCTTTTGCTATCAGAGGTAAAACTACCTAAGTCTACTCCTCCTTGATTAAACTGTAGATAGAACTGAACATTTGGATTTTTGTATTTTCCAGAACAGCAGAGCTTGTGGAAGCAGTTCTGCAGGGAAGAAATGGTTCTGTGTTTTGCTATGGTGCCACAGGTGCTGGAAAGACATACACAATGCTCGGTACAATTGAGAATCCTGGGGTAATGGTTTTAGCAATCAAGGATCTCTTTAGCAAAATACGGCAAAGGAGCTATGATGGGAATCATGTTGTTCATCTTTCATATCTAGAGGTCTACAATGAAACTGTTAGAGATTTACTGTCCCCTGGGAGGCCTTTAGTCCTAAGAGAAGATAAACAGGTATTTGCTTATTTCTAAAGAATGATCAGCTTCACAAACATTAGTGATTGCCATTTGTTTCTGAAATGGATAAACTGCTTACTGCTCGATAATTTTCTTTTGTTGTCCCATCTTTTATACTTGTCTACTAGTAGTTGTAGCATTTCTGATCAGAGATTTCCATATATAGAAAGAAATTAGCAAAAGGAAGATCATCTCACACTGCTTATAATGCAGGGTATAGTGGCAGCAGGGCTTACACAGTATAGAGCATACTCCACAGATGAAGTATGTATCCTTGTTTTCTTTTAGTTTGGTCATAGTAGAGTATTAGTTGCTGAATCAAAGTTTTGTTTACCTGTATTTCTTTTATGGAAACAGGTAATGGCATTGCTCCAACAAGGAAACCTAAACCGAACCACAGAGCCCACCCGCTGCAATGAAACGTCCTCACGCTCTCATGCTATTCTTCAGGTCATTGCAAATTTGCCATATTTATAATTCATGCAGCACCACCGCCATTTCTTGATTTTTTATTCAACACACAGGTTGTGATTGAATACCATGTCAAAGATAGTTCAAATAACATTGTAAACCGAGTCGGAAAGCTTTCACTCATTGACCTTGCGGGTTCAGAAAGAGCTCTAGCTACTGATCAGAGAACCCTGAGATCACTTGAAGGTGCTAACATAAACAAGTCACTTCTCGCGCTGAGCAGCTGCATCAATGCTCTCGTTGAGGGAAAAAAGCACATTCCTTATCGGAATTCTAAGCTCACTCAACTACTCAAGGATTCACTGGGTGGTGCTTGTAACACCGTTATGATTGCCAATA